TTTTTCTTTTTTCGAACAGACAAAGTAATTAAATAACTGAAATTTGAACAAAATGGTGAGATCATTCATGGGGACTTGATAAGTTTCTCCTAGGTGTGCCAGCTCTCAGCACAAACATGTTGACTTCTATTAAGAGATTTCTCAAGCTGCCTTTCTCAGGTTTGTTTAATGAAAAGAAAAAAATAGTCGCAAAAGACAAACAAAACTGTATTGATTTAAAACAACAGTCGTACTCTTTTATTAATTATTGACTCGGGCGCGGTTGCACGGTGGTGTAAATACCCCACTGATAATGTACTTAACACAAAATATGAGCCTTGAGAAAAACACTCAAAAGCTGTCAGCAGGCAAATTAAAAAGGCATAAAACAAGCTTTCATTAACGTATGGTAATCCATTCATTTTTAATTAACCCAAACCATGAAGTAAAAACAAAATAAAGCCCGAGTGTCACACGGCACTTTCTAGTTTGAGGAACATCACGGTGAGTAATATTATCGCCCTGTTTAAAACTTCACGGCACCTGCTGAGGTCACATTAGCAATCTTAAAAGGTGACTTTGACCCTCGTAAAAAAAAAGCCATGCTGAATCCATACATGCAAGGACCAAATTTCAGTGGAGAGCTTTAAACCCTTTGAAAATCAACCATTTCAAAGAGAGATATTATCATTTGTCTCACTAGTAGAAGGTCTGTTAATGAAGGCTGCTGCATTATACTCAAAGGATGCTTGTGTGTTCTGCTTCCTGTTTTCATTCCCAGGAGTCTTTTCCATTCTGTGACAATTTAAAAAGGTCTAATATTGCAACATTGTAACGCACACTTTTTAAAAGCTGCCAAATAATCTAACTTCAGTTTTTTGAGAATCCCTCTTAGTCCCACTTCTGCTCTCAGTTCAAGCAGACGCAGGGAGACACCTCAAGGTGCTGCAGAAGTGAGGTCAAAACTCCAAGCTACACGGTTGCCCGTGGCTACATAAATATTAACCAAGACTCCACTGTGGAGGGAGGCCTTCTTTGATTACGAGTCTACTCCAAGAGTTTGATATCCAGTGAGACCACCGAAGCCAGCTTTACAAAATTGATGAGAGAATACAGAGTCAGGAGGAGTTTCACTTGATTTGGAACAGATTCATGCAAACGAATCGGGGTAAGAAACATCACTAGTTCACATTTCACGTATCCAAAATTTCACTTTGAACTTCTCATCTGTAGTGGTTGGAAGAGATGTGAGAAAAAGGATATTGGAAGGAAACCTCTTTTGGTTTACTAAAGCTGATTCTTTTATCCGCACTCTAACGATTTGGGTAAAAGCAAACGAGCAAGTCTAAATGATGCCGTAATTACAGAAGGAAGTTAATTGGAACTTGTTTTTGTCACCTCACAATCCCGGTGTCTTGACACAAAGCTGTGATAGAGACTTCTGATGTAATGCACTCACAGTTAGTGAGTGTTAGTGTTTATCAATTCATGCTTGATGTGCAGTTAAAAAGAAGAGAAATCAAATCAAGTCAAATGTTGCTTTGACCACCCACTGCCTTTATCACATGCTCCCTTTCCTGTAGGCACACACTGACACACTTGGCAGGTAGGCTGGAGAACTCGCTTTAGTTCTTCTGTGGATTAAGGCTGCCTCAGCGTCTTTTGTCTCTTCGTGTAATCCCAGACTAACTCCATGATGTTGACATCAGGACTCTGTCGCAAGACCTCTAATTATTCTTGTCACTTAACGACTGCGGCTGTATGCTTGGGGTCATTGTCGTGCCGCAGAATGAGTTTGGAACAGATCAGAGACGTCTTTGATGATCCTGCATGATTGAATAAAAATGTAAACATCCAAAATGCTTAAAAGTGTTTTGCACAGGACTGTAAATCAGGATCCGACCCAAGTAAATCTAATAAAATGAGATAAAAAGAACACCGAAAACATAAATGATCAAGGGTAGGCGAGCTCGGGAGCATGTAGCTCGGCCAAGTCTTTGTCCATCATCATTAAAGGACACGGATTTGTTGGAATCAGCAGAGGTCTTGTGACTGGTCATGTGTGCCTGAGGTGCCAATCATGTGCAGATATTTTGGGAAAGAACCAATAAGCTTTGTTAAGTGAAAACTGAAGGTTACCAAGCGATCGAGGAACCACATGGGAAACGGGATGACATGTTTGCTCTCAACATGGATAACTTAGGTCTGCCTGAAGTGTCTGACGTCATTTTCACTGAAGCAAAACCTCACAGTTGTACTAGCTGTGCGTCCTCTTTTTTTATCATATCAGTGAACAAAAGTAATAAACAACAATGTATCAAAATATCCCAATTACTTACATTTGTTCCATCATTCTAAATACAATAGTGATACATATGTAGCATGAGATACATTGTAACAGATAAAAACTGTATTTATATGTAGATAGTTCTATCGTTGTTGATTAACAGTGTTAAGAGTCTTAACAAAATGGCTATAGAATGCTAATTTTCCATAAGATGCAAGCTCATTGATGTGGTGTTCCAAAGCAGGGAATTTTTGAGATTACTATTTAATTATACATTTTCCCCTACGTAACCTACAAGCTGGATAGGCTCCTCATGATGAGTCATTTTAACTGAACCGACATCACCCGATGTTCAAACTTCAAGATCAAAGTTAATACGACAGTTGGAGATTTCAAACAATCTTGTGATCGTGGCAGTGAGGGTGTTGGAGAGTTTCAGAACATGTCAGAGTCCGGGGAGACATCCGACATCTCTGTCACCCAAGTCATTAAGCTTGACTGGACAATAAGGAGAAAAGCTGCATCCTGTACTGAATTTGTCTGTTTTTGGTGCATATCAACAAAACCGGAATTTTTCCTCGTGGAAATGATTCCAGCTCTGATCCTTGCTCCTTCTTTGTTTCGGAGAGGTTATTAATAAAGCTGTTGTTTATGAAAAGATTCCCATGTGGAAGTCAAACAAATAGATTTCCATTAGGGATTTCTCAGGTATTTCAAACAAGTGTCCCAGCGACCGACTTAACCTGTTGCTTTATTTGATCGGGGAATACTTTAAATGCTTACATTTTGTGCTGTTATTTAGTATATAATTCAATATTAATATCTTCCCTGATCCCACTTTACATTCAGCAAAAGGACTAAAAATATGAGGATTGACATTACGAGTTGCCCTGTTTTCAAACCCAGGAGGGAATGAAATTCCTGCCACGTGCCAAAGGGACTCCGAAGGTTTTTCCATTATCTCAGAAAGTTTATTCCTCCAGGCCAGGAAAAGAAGTGGTAGTTACTTATTTACTATGCTGCAAACACACATTAACATTTTCAGTTTTGGTTGATTAACAGTATATACTTGATATTTGAAAAGGCTTTGATAATTATGATGTTGTTTTTCACCTCGGCGTGTCTGGGTTGAGTAAGAGCCAGCAGGTATCACGCGCCATTTGGTGAGTGATTACGTGCAATAGTCTGCTACCTTTGCAGGATATGATTACATCACAGTTATTCATTAACAATTGCACATGAACCATTTATGCGCTGGTCAGGAAACTGACTGGGGATCATACGCCAGCAAGGCTGTCATTAACAAACAAACAGAAAAATCATATCTTTGCCTGTTTGTAATCTACGGTGCTGTGCATCTTACAATTCAGTGAACTGAGTACATTCATAATAATAATAATACAAGTCTAATGCCCTCTGTTGACAATCCGAGGAAACATATTCAAATGACTCCAAATGCAAAATGGCAGTTTAAGCTGTTGCAGCCAGAGAGACCACATGTGTTTTTAGTCCCAGCTTATGAATAAACATCTCTCCCAGATATGGATGCCTGTCACTGGATGACCTTTTATTACATCTGTTTTCTCTTTTTTTTTGTCCCTTGCAAAAACGGCCTGTATTATTATGTAAAATTATGCTTATGAAAACACAAGCCTGCCCCTCTCCTGCGTTCACCTTCACCTGGCAAGCATGACTCAACTTCGCTTTTCCCCATAGTGGGTGAAAGACAGCGGGCTTTTTTTTATATTGAAGCCAGGTGTGTGCCTGCGCTCTACCTGATGTTTAACGGCATTCCTTAACCAGATTACAGCACGCTCCAAGTATTAGCAAGACTCAAATATAAACATGAAACAGCTGTGTTTATTTTTAGATATTGTGAAACCAAAAAGTGGCCCTAATAAAAAACGCCAAATAACAGCTGTGCCGATAATTAGATTTTCAAACTTTCATAAATATATATGTTTGTTTGTTTTAATAGGAAAAAATATATATCAGAGCTCAGCTTCATTACAGAAAGAAATGCTGTGCACGATGAAGTGTAATAATCTGCATTTTACCCACAGTGGAGTATAATGTAGAAAACCAATATAACATACTGCATGCAGTAAGGAGCGCCAGGGTCAAAGTCCCAGAAGCCTGAAAAGAAATCCATGGACTGCTGAATGGTGTCATGAATCATGTAAAGGAAAAGAGGAGCGATGGAAAAAAAAGGGTGAAAAAATACATTCACGACTCTGAAGAGGTTCTTGATTTGAAAAACTGCTTGGCTCCGCGCACGCTTGGCTCTACACACCAGCGGCAGCTTGACCACTGCTGCATGGGCCAGAGTGCCGTCCAAATGGGGCTGGTTTGAGCGAGGGAGAAAAAGGTCTGTGTGCACGACCGTGTTCTTTTGATGCTTGGTAGTATTACAGTAGAATGACTCCACTGTCATTGGTTGAATAGGCCGGACTGCCTACTGTGACAGAATATGGGCCTCTCATACCCAAAAGGAAGGCAGTGTTGCTTCTTTAAGCAGAAAAAAACGTGGGGCCAAAAATGAAGGCGCTGCACTCGTAATAAATCTTTACTTTCTGTGTGATGCAGTGGAATAGCCCCTCTGTAGGAAAATAAGCTGAGCACAGTCCTGCCGGGCATGATGATAAGTTGATGAGGACAGTGTGTGACGCGTCTCGACTCCGAGCCGTGCTGGATCCAGAATCCATGTCAGGTTTTAGTGTAGACCTGCGCTCAGACAGCTCCTGCAGTCGGCAGCCTGCTATCAACTGCACTGGCGCTGTTCACTGGAAGCCCGCTCAGCGCTGCTTCCTCCAAGTGTCTCAACACTGTGAGCGGGATCTTTTCCAGAGGCTAGCCGCTGAAACTTGCCCAGTCCCCACACAGTATCATTCAGGGGAGCCAGGAGAGCAGCACCGGCGGCGGCTACAGTAGCGCAGAGAGATCTTCGTCTTCTCCCCTCCACCAGACACTGAAAAGCCCCACTCTTGTCTGTCCCTCTCAGTCACTCAAGTCCTTGTTTTTTGGTCCCCGAGCTTCGCTTCTCTTTGACTCTTGTTGTCACCGCTGCTGCTGCTGCGTCGGGGAGTGAGGGCGCACGCACAGGGAGAGCCGAGACTGTATGAGCCGCTCAGAGGTGTGCATGAGGCGGCTGATGAGTTAGGACTGAGCTCAGAGCAACACCTTGCGTGCCATGGAAGTGTGCGCTCGGTGCAGGGGAATGTACGGGCAGAAAGGGAGACCTGCCGCTTGAAAGCCAGCCTCTGTCCCAGACAAGGCGAGCATGCCTGAGACCTGCAGACGCACTCTCTTCGCTGCAGAGGAGTTCACATCAGACTGCCTTTCCACAATCTGACATTTTTTAAACTAATCTTTTTTATACAGCTCACAGTTTCCTACTCAGTCTTCAATCAAGCCCCGCGTGGCTACGCTGCTTTTCGAGAAAGGTAAGAGTAGATTTTATTTTACCCCCCCCTCTCCCTCTGCGCATTAATACCATCAAAACTTGTGAAACATCCAAACACAAACTAAAGTATTGTAACTTTTACCTTCTGCCTCGGTCACTTCTGAACCTCGCGTTGCGAAACTTGTTTAGAAAACGATAGACGGCGAGTCCGATTTGACATTGTGTGTGAGTCAGTTGTTTTAGGAAATTCGGATTATAATAGAGGCACCATAAGTTTAGCGAGAATAAAATAATAATAATGATTAATTAAAAAAACAGAGCAGCGCAGTCTGCGGTGGAGGACCGACGGGTGCCGTGGTTAATTGAAAAGTGCTTAATCAAAACATAACCAGATGTGGATTGATTTGTTCGGCTGCCGAGTCTGAATTGAAACAATTTTAAAGTGCGTGTGTGTGTTTTGTGAATGTGTGTGTGTGTGTAGGGGGGCTCGGCAGCGCGATTCCTATGAACCAGAACACGTAAAGCGTCATTTAATTGGGATTTATGCCTCCAAAGTTGAGGTGGAGTTTTGCTGGTGGTGTTGGCCACTGAGGGTTTTTTAAATCCACTGATGGGTCTTGTTGCTTTGAATGGGGATTTAAGCTGGAAGCTGTGACCTGAGAAGTGTTGTCTGCCTGTTTCTGGAGTGCATTCACGGGCTAATCCATTATAATTGGGGTTAGGCTATTTGTCCCAAAAAAACACAAAAAAAAAAACGAAAGAAAGAAACAGACAGAAAACAATTCGAGCCTCAACCAGAGATGTAATAATTAGTTTTGCCCCAGAGCTAGCCTGTGAGGCAGTGTGCTCCGAGGGTGGAAGGTGACGTTGGAATGAAATGGTGAAATAAAAATAAAAAGACGAGAGCATAAAAAATAGGAACTGATTTGGTTTGCTTACACTTAACTCAAACCCAGTGGGCGCAGAGTGGCAGTAAAAATTAGATCCTTTTACTGCGCATTTATTATTTAGGCCCACCGATTCCGAACGTGTCTTGTCAACCATGTGTTAAAGAGGAGGCGGGAGACGCGCACATGCGGTGCGGTGCGTGCCTCTCCTTTTGCTGGAGAAACACACAGCGGTCACCGCTGATGCATGGCTGCCTGGAGCGGAGCAGCAATCTTCAGTGATCGATCAGAGGATCGGGTTAAATTTAGCTCCAGCAGACTTCACATGCCCACAGTTTTTTTTCTTCATCTTCTTCTCTTTTGGGGGGTTCAGGACTAATCTTAAGAAGGCGAGAGACAGACCTCCGAATTCCTGCCTGGATTACTGTCCATAGATGTCCCTCATGTCTATCTTTAATATATCTGCACAACACATTCTCACGTATACGTACTTGCACACAGCGGGTTATAGTTAGAGTAAAAGAGGATATTTTCCCCCCTTTTGCCTCATATATTCTTAGATAATTTTTCAAATGAGAAACAAAATAAACCTAATTGCAAAGTCATTGTTCATCTTTTCCACAAATCCATACTCTCAATAAAAAAGTGTTGAAATTTAAGGAATTATAAGAAGCATGGCTGCTGCTCCCTGAATACTTTTTTTTAGTATTGTGATGATGATTCCATTTCCTTTTGCTTGTATTAAAAAAAAGGTAAAATTAGGCTAATGTGAGTGCAAATTCCAGCTGTTTGGAAGGAACATATTAGCATATCAAAGTGGTCCTTGCACAATTGAAGGAGTTATATTCTGCCACTGGTTTTGGCTGATCCTGAAAGGCTTCAGAACGAGTGTGTGAGCCAGTAAAACTCAAGTTTCTTTCTCCATTCTTCTTGTGCACACGTCCCTCTGACATCTTGCATATAACATCCGTGCCATGGCATCCTCACAACGAGTCAGTTGTAGTAAACAACGGGGGATGAAAATGACACGAAATTCAAAATGTATAAATGCTGGCGATGTTTGATTCTTGGTTAAAGTAATAAAATTGTGTGATTTGTTGTGGGAGTCTGAGAAGAAATCCAGGTCTATCTACACTCAGTGGAAATAATGTAATCTACCTGTGAATGCGTCCTAAAGAAGGAGACTGTCTTCTCAGATGTCGTTGCTTGATATCTTAAGCCCGGCTATTATGAGTAGTTTACCAGTATGAGAGCACCTTTTTCAGTCTGTAGCCTCGTTTGAATGGAAGTGCGTCCGGTTTCAAAGAACTGAAGCTGCTCTTGATGTGCCAGAGCCCCACGTTGCCTCTATTCGCTTGCGTGTTCGTCTCCACTGGCGGATCAATAGAGCCCGGCACACGCCTGTATGGGTCTGAGGGAGACATATCACTCTTTAGTAAACTTTGGTGTAGAACGCGAGGCTCTCGAGCGAGTGGGTGTGAGCACATCCAAATTTGCCACATTATGGACTCTAGCTCCATTTTCTGCTGGGATGGTCCCCTCCTCAGAACTGCAGCTGAGCTTTTTGGATATTTGACGTGTGGATTAAACAGAAATGACGCCGCCTTCATTGCCTGTCCAGATTTTTTTGAATATCCCAACAAGCCAGGCTTGTTCCACTCTGGTTTTATTAAGGTAATTTGTTATCGATTTTATTCACTGTGAGCTTGCACATGCTGACCGGTGGTGGCATTTGCTCACTTTGCTTTGTGTGTGTCTCTGTCACGAGTGTGGATGTGAGCCTGCGATTGGCGAGCCACTACGACTGATTTAAAGGTTGCTTTGTGGCTGAATGGATAGCTTGTGCCAGCCTCGCGCTGTCAGGATGCTCTTCGTTCGTGTGAGCCCATCTCTGCTGTCCTTCCTGCGCGTCAGAGTCTTTGTTAGCTAAGGAACAATGACCAATTTAAAAGTGTAGTTGTTGTTGCAAATGATGTGCTAGCTGCTCCACATATAATCCACCCCCCAAATAATAACAGAAACGACGGAGGCTTTGAGTGTGTCAGCAGAAGAGGATTGCAGGGAGTTAGATTTACATCCCATTGCTTATTTGGCGTGTAAATTGTGGGTTTGTGTTTTCAGATGCAATCTTTTCTTTTGCCTTAACCACCTACATGGAGTCATACTGTGCGGATAACTGCTTGCCATTAAAGGGAATAAACAAGGCTGTAAAAGCAAGCTATGGCAAATTTGATGTAATGTGCAGGGCTTTGGTGGGCCAGCGTACCTCCCCTTTCATGACTGATTTTATTTTACGATTGGCAATCAGTAAAACGCTAGTGCGCTAGTGTGTTCCCCTCCCTGCCATTTTGTGAAACATTTGTTTCCACTTGCCAAAGGCCTCTGGTGCAGGGGGGGGATTCGGTGCCCCTGAAATGGCAGGTGAAACTTTCTGCTTGCCTAAATAATTTCCTAGCAGAACATTACTCTGGGAGTGGAAAGTAGGGCTCCATTCAACGTCTGATGACAAGAAACAGCATGAGCGTTAGCCGATAGATGTCACGATGGTTTGTCTGCACTGGCTAAGTGGCAGTCTCCCTTAGCTTATCTGGCATCTCTTTTTATGAAAGCTATTTGGAGATAAGGCCGTGCAAAGTGCAAAACTGGGTCATAAAATCTCCTTTTTTGTGTGTCCTCTGGTCACAGGACGACTGGGCGTAGCACGCCGTTCTGTTTGCCTTTTTTACAATGTGTTCAAAACACTGCTCGTATTAGCAACGTGTGTTTAGGTCACTCGAAGAAGGAAGTGAGAGAAAATTCTGCCAAGATGGGTGGAAATTTGATCAATAAATTGTGATTTAAATTTTTTTTTTTTTATATTAATCTCTAGAGGTATAAAAAGCGAGATTGCAAATAAATTATATGTTTTTTTAAATTATTTAAAATATTATTTCTTAATTTTCAGACCTGACATTGTGGTTATTTTTGATGCTTTTATATATAAGTTGTTACATTTATTCCTATTGTAATTTAAAGAAGGTTGAAACACACACACACACACACACACACACAGTCTCATTTTTGTGCTATGTGAACAGGACTTGTCCTTATCTGTGCACAGCTGCAACACTATTTGGGAAAATATTCAATTTCAGTGTGACAGAGGAGAACTTGGGAGGCAAGGCTCTAAGCAAACAGCAGTTATTGCGGCTCTGCCATAGCAGCGGAGAGCAAGGCCTGGCTGGGAGAGAGGGGGGATCTGCGGACGTCTGCCAGGGGAAGGAGTAATGTCTCGGCTGGATTATAGGCGAGCGAAGCACATCCACATTTAAAAGCCCCCTTTCCAACAAGACAGGGCTCTTATTTAGGGATGGTGTGGGTAAACACGGCAGAGCAATATATT